CCATAGTAACACTGATCCCAGCGTGATGGTCTCTCGGTATGTCGCCTCAATCAGAACTGGCAGGGATCCAGCAGCACTTTTGGGGTACAGGATCAAATGGAGTCGAGCCCTTTGTTGGTATATTGGTGGAGGATCAACTTCAGCAAATGCCTCATCGGAGCCCTGTGACCCAGTAAGAGCAAAAACTCTCAACCAAGCAGAATCATCTTGCAGAACAGTTTGGCCATAGCGTCGAAAGCGAGTGCAGTATTCATGATGTCTAGCACTCCGTTGAAGCCAGACATACAAGTAACCATCACCTCCAGAGTATTTCTGTATGTAATCTCGGACGCGGTATGTCATAGTTCTGCCACGGGGCATAGAGACCTGCATTAGTGCTTGTTCTTCAAAAGCAGTCCTGCATCGTTCGCTATCTTGTCTCCTAACCCGAAAGGCAAGAACAAAGCTCGTGCCATGATAGCAGTCAACTTCATCCAGGTAATGCCATTCGCGTAGTAGCGCATCATCCGTATTCTCCAAAACACAAAAATGCATAGTGGAAAGACATACTTCCGCTAATCCAAGCTTGAAGATGATGTCTCGTACAGTCTCATGTGTCTGATACAAAACTGCAACCCGCTTAGGATTGCTTGGATATAAGACATCAACAAGGTATACTCGCAAAGCTCGCTGATACTGCTCATCAGTCAGGAGAACAAGGTCAACTGGGAAAACTCGGAGCGAGAGTGGTGGCGGTTGAGGGGACGCCAAGGCAACCCAGTAACTCTGGCTCTCAATGACGGCGGCAGTAACAGTCAGCAAAGATTGCGTGTAGGACCGTTCATTGTGCATGACACAAACATCGGCAAAAGGAGCAACAACCCTACTAATCAACCAGACGTGCACAGTGAAAAAGACCTTATCACCAATTGCAAGTCGGTGTCGAAGGTATGCTCTCAAAGGGTCACCAAACTGTACTTGTGCAGGACTGAGTTGAAAAACATCATGGTAGATGGTTTCAGAGGCAACCCCTGAAGGTGCTCCCGACTGCAGGAAATCAATTCCACTATTCTCTTCCTCTTCAAACATCTGCTCCCACGGCAGCTGCATAAAGAGGTTGGCATCTGACTCCTGTAGAGTCCTATCTTGTGTATTACTGTGAGCGTCATCATAAAGAGAAGGAGTTGCAGTGTTTGCTCCTTGCGCATGCCCAAAATGGTCGATCACAGGAGTTGCAGTGTTCCCTCCTTGTTGCAGAAATGACACCTCATCTTGCGTTGGAAAATCCTCTGGCCATGATTGATTGCTGTCAGAAGAATTCGTGGAAAGCTCAGACCCATCATCAGTGGATGAGCAACTATTGTCATCTCTTCCTTCTTCACGGAGGGCTATAAAGGCCCCCTCATAGAGGATCAGACGTGCCCACCAATCATATATGGCGTTCCCTATCGCAAGAGTGCAATCATTCTGCCAGACGCATAAGTTTCCGGGCACTGCAAGTCCGAACAAATCAGAAACCCTCCAATTCCTGACAGGTCCAAAAAGCAGGGTGCCCATCCAATTGGCATTTGGCGTGCTCACCTGACCTAAAACTACAAAGTAGTCATCAGGGAGCACTGGCACAAGTAGAAAGACCGGTAACCTAGACACAGGTCTAACAGTAACAACATGCACATTGGGCCTGACCTGATAATCTCTCCAAGCTCTAGTGAGCTGTTCTCTCACAGGTTGTGTGACACTTATACGAACAAACCTGTGCAGGAAAGACCATTGGTTCCTCTGGTCCCAAAAATGCACCCATGTTGAGACTTGCCAGAGTCCAGCATCGTAGACATCAAGGATGTATTCAGCTAGCTGATCTTGTACGGTCTGTCTTTGCATTAAGGCATTCTCCTCAAAATCGAAAGAGTCACCACTATCAGGACCTCTAAGTCTCGTGCAATCAGGGTCCTCAAAACGTGGACAAAACTGCGGCCTGGGCCAATTTGCTCGATCGCCTTTGAAAGCGAGAACACTTCCAGTGTCCCCTGTTCTCATGGAGGAGGAGTTCAGGGAGCAACTGGGAAAACCTTCGGGCCTTGACAGAAAAGGCTGATCACAAAAATGACCCCCACAAGGTCGAGAGGGGCCAATTGTCTCTACACTGTGCAAACTCTGGTAGGTAGGCACAGGAGGAGGAAAGAATTCCTCTGAGCTGACATCCATCTGCAGATCTATGTCTTTTATGAAAGGTTGATATTGTGCACAAACGCAATTGAGCAAAAGGAACACCCCTTTCCATTTTACTCTAGTACACTTGCGAGGAGTGCATACAATGCGCTGTCTTTGGACAAAGGCACATCTTGCCGGACTTGTGATCCTATCATTCCATCTGAGACGGTAATAGATGCAAAAGGCACACAAGAAAAGGCCAGCTCCGTTCAATCGCCAAAGGTGCCGGAAAAATTGGATTCCCCAAGTTTCATCAGCACCGAATGGTATAGATTCCAAAAACCATAGGTTTATGATCCCAGATATTCCAAGCTTCAGACCAGCACTGTAGCAGGACTCATCGTTTGGCACCGGGAAGATTCTGTTACGTCTCGAACTCATGTAAATCCTCGCCCAGGATGTAACTTCAGCGAACCCACTTACGCACGAAGCAGCCCACACCAGGAAAAGAATTTGATTTGCAGCAGCCAGAAGGCTAAAGGGAAAAGGACCTATGCGCAATACACTTGCGGCACAGCTCATAGCCCAATCGACTCCGCAAAGATCATGACGGCAAAAGTAGGCAGAGATGTTCAAAATGCTCTCAAACCCTCTTTTGCATAACCCAAAGATTAGACCTATCACCATTTCAAAAAGGGATAGGAAGTGACCTCCAAGCTTTCTGCTGGCACCCAGAACCCAAAATGGTAGGTTGCTGCCTTGAAATATGGCGCACCCTCCTACCCTAAAGGGATCAAGATGAAAAAGGAAAGCTGCTACATATCCAAGCCTTCCAAGCCACCATCTTCCTTGCTCTTCTGCCGAACTCGTCCATAGGGACTGACATTGCTCCGCTCCGTCTTGTCTGACTTGTGCATCTTCCCAAAGGGCACCAAGGCAGAGCCGCCCTTTGCGAGATCCTCTTGTACAACCGTCAAATGCAGTTTCTTGTCGGCCTCGACAGCTGCTCGGATAAGGGGTTTCACATCCTCGATGGATGAGAACTTCTCCGGCTCCCCATGGATAGCATTCAGGATGACAGCTTGATGCCTTTCCGACACAGTCTCCAGGAGGCATTTGAACTCTTCTGGGTCCAACTTGTGCTCGATCTTCTGTGCCTTCCTGGAGGGGGATCTCGACCTCTCGCGTTTCTCTTCGTCTGGAACCATTGTTGGCAAATTCGAGGAGACTTCCGTATGGCTCATACGAGGAACTGGATGCTGGGGAGACTGTGCAGGAGATATGATGCGCTCCCTGCTCTGTAGAGTTGCTACCAAAGTAGTAACTTGGTCTGTCAAAGCAGCATTCTTCTGCTCCATCTGGTGCGCATAGTTCATGAACTGTCTCATCTGGTTCCTCAGGTCCGACAGCTCTTGTTGTACATAGACTGGAACAGAAAGCTCTGTCTGTTCTTCGTCCATGGCACCTTGGTCTTTCTCCTCGGCATCTCCTTTCTCTGCTGCTTTCAACTCTTCTCGAAGCTCTGCCATCTTGGATTGATATCGCTTTTCCTCTTGCTCCAATCCAGCAGTGTAGGTGTCCCTCCAACTCTTGAAATTGGTCTCTTGCTCCTCCATCACTTCTTTGATCCTCGCGGTCTTGTTGAGGGAACGCTCGGAGTTGAGCTGCCGTTGACGCTCCTTCAAATCTTCCCGCGGGTCTACCTTGGCAAATTCTCTCAAGGCCTGGATGTCCTCTTCCGTCTGCTCTTCGTTCCCAAGGATGTTCCTCACGACTTCCTTGATCCTGCGATTCTCCTCTCGTAAAGAGGCATCCGAAGAGGAGTATCCAGATGAAGAGCCTGACTTTGCTATTCCATCCTTCTTGACCTCGATCTTCTTGCCGTCCCAGCCGTATAGAATTGGCTGCTTGCCCTTTTCCTCCTTTTCTTTGCCCTTCTTCGCAGGCTTTTCCCATTCTCCCCATTGCTGAGTCTTCCCTTGACCTTGCCATTTGGACCATGGCATCTTCCTTGGGCTATCCAGCACAGGTATACTGTAACGGGGTACAGTATGATGGGACTCCAAGAGGTGCTTGGCTTTCACCAGCTTGGCAGCGAGCCTTGTAGAAGTCCAAAGCTTAACCTTGGAACTCCTCAAAAGGAGCCTGGCTTTGCTCCTCTTTGCTCTTTGTGCTCTGTGCCAGTTCGGCGAGCGCGCCGCTATGGCTCAGAAAAAGGCCGTGTCGACCGACACGATGGGGCTACGAAAATTCGCCGGTACGCTAATTCGAGCCCTGTTTATACACCCCTCAGAACTACCTTGGCTCTATTCCAAGACCGTTTAGGGCCAATCCCTCTACAAAGCACCACGCGGAAGTTGAGCCAAGAGTCGATGCGCACGGAGATGCGCATAGACTACAGTGCTGGATGCATCTCACACACACGCATGGACTGCAACACATATTGTGGATTCCTTGCGGCCCAGAGATACTGTTCATGTCTGGCCAGATTCAATTTTTGGAACGATCTCACTCTATTTGACACAACCAACGTGGCAAGTGATTCCAGCACATCTGAACACCACCATCGACCGTATCTCCAGCAATCCACAAACTTTATGGTTGAACACCGTTGATCGGGTGCTGAGAGTCAGGTCCCTGGGCCGATCGGATGCTGAAGGTATACCATCTCACTGTCCACCTCTTCTTGTTCCGTGGCGTGTCCCCAATCTCCCATAGGAAAAGGATGGAAAAGGTGTTAGAAGCTTAATTAAAGGTGATCCACCTAGAATCCACGTCCCTCCTAGCATACTAGGACTCGACACACTGACAAAAGGTCCCACTGAACAAAGGTACGCATCTCACGTCTTTGCCACGCACCCACACCGCACCTTGTGTTCTAGCAGCAGCCGCACGTTCGAGGCAATGTAGGGATTCCCCCGGCCGAAGAGCGTCGACGCGGTCAAGGGCCCCATCGTGGCGGAGCCTGATGGAGAACGCCCGTTCGGTCGGATCGGTGGGTTTTCTGGTGTGGACCCCAAACAAAGGTGAAACAAAAGGACGTGCAGGGGAATTTATAGTGGATCCATCTCCAAAAGCGGATCCGTTCTCCCTGCCGAACTGTGAAGGGCCAGGCGCTTGCCTGGCAAGATCAATGGATCCACAATGGCTGTAGACTAAAGCCTCCACAGAAAGAATTTTGGACCAAAAACCAGGATGCATCACATGATAGATTGAGTGTGACTTCCGATCCATCTTCAGCCCCTTTGTCTACCAACTTGGCTGCACACACAGCTCATTGCGCTGGACGTAGTAGAACATTGACCTACAAGTACTTGGTACAATGGGCGGTGATGGTTAAATAGACGCAAAAAGCACCATTAGTAGACGCAAAAGGCCAACTAAAAACATGAGCTCTGAACATCTCTGACCTGCTCACGTTCCCTTCACCCCTTCTCATCCAAGTCTCGCGGATGGTCCGGCTCGCAGCGCGCCGCCAGCAACGCTGCCACGGTGGCCGTATCCGCGTAGTTGGCGACGCCGTTCAACGGCGGCGTGGCGACGCCCACGTCGGCGCATTGGAAGTCAGCGCGGTGTGCCAGGAGGCACTGCACCTGCTCGGCCGAGCGCACTGCAAAGGCACAGCCTTGGCGGTCTCGACATGGGGAGATGGGCATTTTCGAGATGAGTCTCAGAATCTTCTGGACATTTTGGAGAATTGAATGTGACAGGTCTGCCAGACTTGATGGTCTGATTCTTCTAAAGGTGCCTCGGAATGCTGTTGATGAGCACCATTTCTGTGTGGAAGACCATGTCCTACCACAAGAACCCAATCTACCTTACCCTCCTCTCCTCATCTCCCTCTCCATCCCTTTCCCAGGCACCGACACCGCTGCGTGATTGCGCGTGTAGATCCGCCCTCAGCTCGATCAACGTCTCCAGCACTGGAGGCTCCTGTCGGTGACCCCGGCAGCGCCACCCGGTGGCCAAGCCAGCAAGCAGGTGGGCTGCCACACCCGGACCGCGGCTAGCGGCCCGATGGAAATTATTAGAGGATTTTGTTCCCGAGTGGTGTACTGTACCCCCAAGTTAAAATTGCGATGACTGTTGTTGAGGCTGAGTGAGGGAAACAAAACACAAAAGAAGCAACAATGTCACTGTCCTTCAAACATGGTGCCCTCGTCAAGCTGTTGCGGGCAATCGAAAACGCTAGTACAGTACGTTTGATCGTCGTTTGACTGTATTTCAAAAAGTCGACAAGCAGGTGCAAAAGGGACATTTGCCATCATGCTACTTAAACCAGACTGAAGCTCCGACTGGACAAATGACCATAGCATCCACATGCCTCTGGTGAGCGTTCCACGTTGATCGTGCGGTTGTGGAACCCTCTCCCAGTCTCATTTGGTGCCAACCCGGACGTTCGCCTGGTGAGACTTCACCGCGGCCGTAAGCCTGAGCCGCTTAGCAGGGCACCACGGCTTAAGGAGTGCTTCGGTGTGAAGTGCTGGCAGCGCCACCACGTGGAGCTGAGCAAGCCCAAAGCATTCATGGGACTGGAAGAGTTACTTACGGTCACCATGCATGTTGCAACATGTAATGGTCTGGGAAATGCTACTAGCAAGCATCAAAAAAAATCATTTGTCAGGAAAGGTTGCCAGTGCTCTGTTCGATTATATCATATCAGAAATTGTATAGAAAAATTGCTACAGTATAGTTGTTGTTTTAAATAGATATTGTTAAATGTTCTGTGTCCAACCTGCTTCATGGCTGAGGCACACGGTCTGAGTCTCGTAGTAGCCAAGCTCACTCAGGTCCTTAGGGGCACCACACGAAAAGCTGTGAAAGAACTCCACGTCGAAGCAGCTCTCTAGAACCTAGAAACCTAGAACCTAGAAACCGACTAGACACAGGAACTAGAGAGAACTCCACTATCTAGAAACCTCAAGCAGCTCTCGAAAACAAAGTGCCCGCAAGTTCAAATCCCTCAACATCCGTTCAGTGCTCCCACACTGTGATGGCCAAACCTCAAACAAAGGGACTTGTGACTAAGTGATTATACGATACTATATGCGAAGAAACAACATCAAAACCATACAAAACTGCAAGACCCAAACCACAAAAAACACCGCCAGGCCTGCTATCAATCAAACATGCAAAAGATCACTGGTGGGGTGTCCCTGAATCAATCAGGACCACCAAATTGCAGAAAAGAAACAATACTCTATACACACAAACCACCAGACTTGGTTTGCTTTGTTCCCACTTCTCAGCAAAACCCTCAAGTATAGAGTATAGAGTTGTCGACCTAATTCTCACTTTTCTTGCACCAAATGATGTGCCTCCCCAAGCTAAGACCTGCCGTGCCTCCCATCATCTTCCAAAGGACTCCCAGGCGGTCGTTCACATCAGCGCGGTGCTTGGCCAGCATGCGGATCATGTGCGCGTTGCCCGCGAGCACCGCACAAAGGAGTCCAGTCAGGCCATCGCGGCAGCTGCGCCCCTCCGCAGCCTCTTGGAGGGAGGGGAAGTGGAAGTAGCGGAGGAAGTCCTGGCAGATGCCCCAGTAAAGGTGAGCAAACACAGTGCTGGTGAGCAAACACAGTGTGGGACATGTGGTATCCTTTCTTCTCTTTTCTCACCCTGTCAGAATTTACCTTCAACCGGATTCACTTTTTTCAGAAATCAGTTCTGCCTCTGGCATCAGAGCTCAACAAATATATGATATGATCCGCCTTTTGGACATTCGTTTGGCCTGTGACAACCTGTCATGTTCCTTCCTACACCCAGCAATCTGTCGGAGCCCATGCGCCGCCGCACCGCGACCGCGACTGGACCTCACAGTCCAGCGCCATGGGCTGATGTCCTAGGAGCCGAGGACGACAGGCCAAATAAAAGCCTCGCAGGAACTTGTGTGCGCGAGGGCACGGGCAAGGGCTGGGGAGCTGGGGAGAGTTGGGGATGTGCCCCTGATGGTGGTGGGGTACACTCTCCTGCCAACAAACACGGAGGTGCATTTTGACTCCCTTGCAAAAAGTCTTGATAAAGTCTCGATCCTCAACCAACTGATGTGGGACAAAGGGTCCACCTCACTTCCATGTGGGATCAAGGGCTCAACGCAACCTGAAGTCACTGGTGGTGAACGATGGCGCACGTCGGATGGGCTGTGGTATGCTCGGATGAACAAGATGAACGAGCTGGAGCAGCTACAGTAGAGTGCTAAAGCTGCTAGAGCCGAGCAAAAGAGTGTTGATCGGCAGTGCTTGCTGAGCCCCCAAAACAGTATGCTACATATTTTTTGGGGGCTCAGAAAGCATTGGAACACGGGAACCCATTAAAATAAAGGACAAAGACACTAGCCATGCTGTGGAGTACACTGACCCTAGAGTCCAGATGCAACCACCGAAACAACGCACACTTCGGGCTCTGTCAGAAACATTCAGGCTCATTGTCAAACACCTGAAGGCATTTTCACGCACGCAAATGTTTCCGCCGTACGCCAAACAAGGCTCCTCCAGCCTCACCAGATTGGGTTTTACTGCATACCATGAATCCGGAGTGTCCCGTAGACCTCTACCCATCCTCAGGAAACATATAGCTATCTCCGAACACTCATTCTGACTATGCCGCATGATCCGCCCTTCAACGAGATACCACCACTTCCTGCTCCCGTGCCGTGGCCGTTGCCGTGGCCCGGTCCTACCAGTGCATACACGAGATAAGTGAACTACTCAACACGTTTGGTATGCCATGAAGAGCGCAAGAAGAGCTTCGATACCGCATTTCCTGGTCCCAATTAGTTGCTCCAGACTGGTATGGTTGTTCTGGGCTCTCAAATGGAGCCATTGCACCTTTAGACCTGCCTGAAATTCGCCCATACCTGGTGCCTCGCATTGCTAGACCATGCTTCTGTTCGTCACCTTTCTTTGTTTTTGCCGAGCCTGCCTCCGAAGTTCTGTGTGTACATACTTTGCTACCTCTAGCAATGTATCACCTCTTTTCACACCCACCTCTACCCCCTAGAATATCTGGGAAGGGAGGGCGTGGGCGCGCGCGTCCTTGACGACCGTCCGCAAGTGCGTGCATCCAAATGCGGAGGCTTTATTAATCAAGAGTCTTTACATAATTATACACTAGCAGCAGCATAATCAGTCCAGTCCAGTCAGGTGGTCCATTGGCAGCTTGCTGCTCTCGAACAACTCGCATCGACTTTGTTGACTGCGGCCGATCATCGTCAGCATGCTTCGAGGAGCCTACCAGTTACAGTGGTTTCAAAGGTGAGAACTGGCACGGGGACCCCAAAATGACTTTCAAATGGGGGTCCAGATAAAACCACCAAACGTTGGGTCTATGCCTACCCTGAAACATCCTGAAACTACGTTACTACACATGCTCCACCGACTCGTGCCCTCACCCGGGGTGACCCGAAAGCCTACCCTCGTGGCAAGGGGCGATAGTGACTCACCGGCCCCTCGATGTGCAAGGTCTCGAGCTTACCTCGCTTTCTTCGACGGCGGCGATCGCTTCGCGAAAGGCGATCGCTGAACGCACGGGTCCGGTCCGGCGCCTTCTGGGTTGACCCAGGTGGAGGGTTGACCACTGGGAGGGGACTGGGGAGTATGATTTTTGTAAAATAACAAATGTTTATTTAATACACTCCCTGAAATAATCCAATCCAAATGGACAATGGAACGTAGGACCCTTAAGCCCTTGGATGACCCTTCTTCCGAATACCAAACACGGTTCTGAACTCCAAGTCGATTTGGGTAAGCGTTTGGCTACCCGAACACATAGCATACCCGAACACAAAATAGCGCCCAGTGCATCCCAGTTATATACCACTATATAAGGAACCCAGGGATTCTAGGTCTATGGTCGATCTGTCTTTGGAACCACTGGTTACCAGCTATAGTGGTTTGCCTGGATGCCCTGGGGCATGCAAACGTTGGGTTGAGTGGCTACCCATGTTCGGACCTGGCACCGCAAGTCCGTGGTCTTCATCCGACGGCACCGACCGTCTTTGGTCTCAATGAGCTGTGGTAGCCACGACCCCTGAGCCGTTTCCCTGGAACAACTCAGGGTTAACTCTTTTCCACCGGATCTTCACCCCATTTGACCCCATCTGTTCCTGGCAGGGTGTCACCCTCAAGTATAGGATGTCGCTCGGTGACCGAGTCCTTCATCAACGACAGATTTCCAGGTCGACGGTGGACGAAGTTCCACAAAAGGCCGACTTAATGTAGACTCTTGATTGATAGAGCCACCACATATGAAGAGCATGTCCGTATAAATTTGGGTTTTATTGATCAAGAGTCTACATTAAGTGGGATCCTGGGTGATCCTGGATGATCTTGGATGACCCACCCTACTTGAAAAAAGCCACTGAAACCACTGGAAATCCCAAAGCAGCATACCTCTTTCGGCCCACTTGACGGCACCACTTTCGGCGCCTACCACCCGTTCCTGAGGCGAACATCCAACTTCCGTTCGTGCCCCAACATATAACATATCCCTAGGGATCCAGTCGTACCTCCTCAAAAGGTACGGATCCAGTCCCTGGCACCCACCCACCGTCCCACCGACCCGAAACGAGGGTACGACTGGATTCTTAAGGATATAACGACCGTCCCCATGTCCGGAAGAACGACCCGGAATACCCGTAACGGTGAGTCGAAGAGTCGCGAAGCACGCTCTTCCGTGTGGTATGGCGGCCAACATGGGCTCCCCTTTTCAAGCAGCCGTTCTTGCAGGTACACCATCCAAATATGGTCTGGGCATGATCCACATTCAGTAAACTCCATTAAGACATATTATGACATATTGATGTTCTGTTTCATTGGTGTCCAATTGTAAAATCTGCGGAACTGTCTTCCAAATCAGGTCGGTTGACTCCAGACCGGTCAACTCCCGACTCCAGACCGCCACGGCCAAGAAGCTCTCCAAGGCGGCCTCGCCCAGCTTCACCACCACCGCACGGTCAGACTCCACGGTGAAAAGGCCATCGGCGATCAAGTTCCGCTGCCAGACCAGGGGGAACATCAACTCCTGATCGGCATCGGTGTGGATCGGGGCCACTCGTCCCGTCCAAAAAGAAACGGATATATTCACATCATGATGGGAACATAGGGGAAAAGTGTCCCCGAGCAACATCAGGTTCTGGGTGTCTTGAGGGTCTTTGTTTACGGGTGTTTAGTTGGTCGCTCTTACATGACACGGTTGGGTTGAATGGTCGGATGGCGTTGGATGTTCCGAACCATCGGCTACCACTTCTCGGCACCTACAGGGCGGAAGGTGCAGATCGGCCCAAAAGGTCCCAACGCGAACTGCTCCACATGTGACGACTCGACCAGCTCGGTGGTGGAAGGTGCCCACATTTGAGGCCACCGGACATGTATCGCATTGGCTCGCCAGCTGCCGACTGCTCGTGAGAGGAAAAACACCTGATTGACCCCTGTTTGGGGGGCCCAAGCGTAGTCTTGCAATATCAAACAAGCGTTCAAACAGGTTCTAGCTATATGGACTTGGCTACAGCATGTGACGGACTGGAGTGTCAGTCCATCAATGCTATCCGTGTATGATCTTGAACAGTCTAAGGGTAGGGTCAGAAATGTTTCAAGAACATCTTCTATAGGATTCACCGATTCATGGACCAAGGTGCAGCATCGCAGGTGGAATAAATCACGATGATGCTGGTGTCGGACTTGTTGGACAGCAAACCTCGGGACAACACCGAACCCTTGTGTGGGCACACACTTCTAACAGCAACTCCCCCCCATAAAAATGCTTGTGGTTTGTTTGGTGGCAGTCAGTGCTATAATGCTTGCGATACTTATAGAATCCTTCTTCCAGGACTATGTTCAATCCTTCTTTCGAAGTTTGTCAGTGACACAAATCATCTGAGAGCCATCTGTGGGTAGCCAATGCTTTGCGCACTCCGTGTGTGGCATTCATGTATCGACATTTGGGTGGTTCTTCAGGGGTCAATGTGAGATATGTGGCTGTGGGCCAAACCAGGTACCCTGGTTGACCCATCTGGAAGGTCAAGCTAGACATGGTGTTGGGGCTCTAGGTTTTGACCCATTCCAATATAGTACTGTAAGTATATAGTCATAACATGCCATAATTCCATACATGGACGGCCTGGGTATATGCTTTGTTTCTTGACCGAGCTGCGACACCACAACTCGGCACGGCACCAGCCGCGAGAGAGCCAGGAGCTGTAGCTGCAAATGAGACCTCACAACCGGAGACTGAATTGATCCCAGGTGCTTTGGCCCCTTTGGCCGGGCCCTTTTTTTTTTCAGCTTGACATCAGGCCATCGAAAACCAAAGAAAAAGTTTCAAAATGAGATTTCATTACAATCAGGAGTTGCAAAAAAAATGTTCAGGAGCCCAACGTTATACTTCCAACGTTATACTTCATGAGTCATTGAGAGGTGCAGGGGTTTTCGAGAACAGAACAGGATCGTTGAGAGGTGAAGGTCAACGCTTGTCCGACCGTCGCAGAACTCCGACTGTCGCTTGTCCGACTGTGGATTCGTAAGCCATGGATTCTTTCAGGTTCTGCCGGTGATGTGAAACCCCATATGCATTCATACGAATAGCATTGAATACCGCAATGTCAGTGGGGGGGTTGAGCCCGGCATGGTTTATTTCGGATGGTGGAATCAATTTGGGTTCGAAAATAGTTGACGTCTATTGTATATTAGCCATGTAAACCAAAATCACCGTCAAGCAGCCAGCGGCAACGAAAAAGGCGCATCAACTGTTACAGTCTTACAGCTAATCTTGCTGCCTTGATCTGCCTGGCAACATGGTTTCAGTTACCTCCGCCCAATGCACACACAACAGCAAAAATTGCATCGCCCGCCAAGGTATGTGCTTCACCACCGGTAAACACCCTTTAAACTTTAAAGTCACCCATGGACTACCCAACGCGTTTACTCTCTACCGGCCCACCCTGCCAGCATGCGCCAAATCTGAAAGCACATCAAGCACCTGCCCATTTTGCCCAGGTGCCAGTGTCGGCATGAAGAAGTTCCTCAGCCAAACGTCACCCATGTCCCGGAAACAAGTTCGAGTCTCCCACATCTGTCTAAGACAACTTAGGGCGTCAATGCCATATTGAAACCACTCCGAAGAGGACAGGACAGAAGAAACAATAATTCAGCCGCCTCACATCGGCAACACCCCTGGTGCCATACATCTGCTCGAAGAGCACCTACCTCAGTTCCCTTGCCAAGGCTACTACGGCTACTCCCAGCCCTCAAACTGGAAAACCACGAAAACCACTCCTTTTCCGCTCCCTTGCGAGGCCGCCCAGTGGCTGGCACCAATGCCAAGAAGAGGTCTGCAGCCTGGTTCGATACATCGGCGGAAAAACACAACGCGACGGTGGTACACGAACAAACGAACACATCACATGGTTTCGAAGGTATGTGGGGTGGGTGCCAAGAGGGTGGTCATACCTTCTGAGTAGGGAAGTGGAGTTCATCCCGATGCTTATAAAGGAAAGTCGTCTTCCAAGGGACCATGCCATCCACGTCACCATGGAACGTGAGTCAGAGGGTGAACCCGGTGACCATCCCCGGTGGGAAACATCCAAACCGTTTGCCGGTGTATGTCCTGTGCTGTCCATCTGATAAACTCCTCGGGTCGTACGAAGCGCAAAACAACTCGTCATTTGTAAAGGAGAATGGTCATCCAAGGGGCCATCTTCCACTCCCATGATTAGTTCAATAGTGTATGTCTATATATACACTTGGGACTCCACAACGGCTTCATGTCGTGTCAGACTCGAGGCAAAAAATTAAAGGCATCCCACCAGGTCTGCTTGGTGGTTTAATGGCTTCAACTCACTCGAATGAATTGTCAGTGGGATCAATCTTCCCAAGTAATGACAGTTTGATCAGTTGGAACATAGAACTATTTGAAACCACCACGCGGGGGTCCATGTCCATCCCTCCCACCACCCACAACACCTCCACGTACGCGGGGATGCTCTGCACCGCAAGCGCCGCGCTGGAGCGGGTGCTCTCCTCGTTGACTCCAGGCAGGCGCGCCGTGATCCTCGGTGAGGACCCCTCTGCGGTGTGACGGATCCACATCCCTCCCAGCAAACAACTGGGAGAGAGTCTATAGATATATATATATATATATAGTATATACTATATATGACATTAGATTACAGTACTACAATACAGCGTGAGCTCCCAACACCAATATCAACAATTTCAAGTAGCACTAGCAGTAGGAGGAGGACGAGGAGGATGAGGAGGAGGAAAAGTAGGATGAGGAACAGCAGTAGCAGTAGCAGTACAACAGTATACTACAGTATAGCAGTATAGTGGTAGAGGGACAAAGTAGCAAATAGGGAAACTTCCATTGAACCCGCCGATATTATTCGAGATGCAACACTGCAGACTGGCGACTGGTTTTGAAAGTGCCGGCCACGGGCATGCATATGACGGTCGGTCCATCTGCCAATCTCGGGCTTTCGCAAACAAACCCACCTTCGACCAAGCTCTTGCGGCCTCAATTTGCAGCCAAGGGCACTGGGGTATTGCAAACCAGTCGATGAATAAATAGCCTGGCACCAGCAGAATATCGTGCGATGGCGGCGTGCGATTCGAGGGATTTCCCCAGATTTTCCGTCCGTCTTCCTGCTCCTCAAGACCTCCGAGCCTCGCATATTCGCATCCAGTGGTTTCAAAGTAAATGGTCCATATAAAACCACTGACATTAGGGGGTCTGTGCGCCATCTACTCTCAATGCACTCTATCTACTCTTCAATCTCCCCGACCTTTTTTCCAGATAAAGGTGAACCTTTAGCCACCAATGGTTTTGAGTGCGGAAACGCATCCCCCCAAATGGCTTAAGGGGCTTCAAGGCAATCCAGATCCACCTTTTGGGCGATAGATTTGTCCATCCTTTTCCCCTGCTGATTCTCCAACCAGGTCAGCAGCTCCCCGCTCGATCTGCTGTAGCGTTGGCTTGGACAGTCGCTTGATTTGTTCCGGATCCTCAGCGAAGCTCCATGCTGGGACCGACCGGCGATGTCTTGGACGGTGGACATCGTCACAGCAATGGCCATGACATGAACACCTGCGCAATCCTGCGCCTAATGTTCTTCAAGGGCGTGCCAGGTGTCATATTAATTAACACTAGGATAAGTCGGATGAGATGGTGTGAGCACCTGCCAAAAGAAGCATAGTGTGCAAATCCAGCTTGGTCTCGTTGACCTGGATGAATCAAATCCAAACGATCAGGAATCACACATGCACGACATCAAATCGTCCAAACCCCAAATCCCATGGATTTGTGGTGTGGTTGGAGGCCTGAAGTCAAGAACTGCTGTATCAATGGTGCTTTTATTTGCAATCATACCGGACCACTGGACCGGGCGACCTCCTTCTCCTTCTCCGACCTCCCGGTCGGCCCGGTCCGGCTATTTTTGCTTTTCACTTCTCCTCCGAGGTGCCAAGAGGGCTGCAGGCTTGATCGAGGTCCTTGTCTCGCTTGAGCGGTGCCCGTGCCGGTCGCATCGTTTTGAACGTCCGGTGCATTTGGTGCCAACGCTCAATGCATTACCTTCTAAGAAAACACATGAAAGAACAGAAACCCGAAGGCTTTCCTGTAGATGTTCCCGTAAAACCAACTCTGGGCGATTAACGGCCGGAAGGTTTTGGATGCTACAAGACCCGGACGACGACACATGTTACATACATAGCAACACCAAAGATCTCTCTGTCAGAAATGAAGTGCAACAGGTCCAAAAACAACAACTCCCCCAACTCCCTAAACACCTGAAGTACCCAACCGTGGACGAACCATGGGAGAAGTCTGTTTGCTCAAGGATTTCCAAGGCCCAGCCCAGTCTCAAAGGTGCATTGGAGCCGCTATCGGTGTCTGGACGCACCGCTGAAATGGGCTGGCATGTGTTCCGCCAGCACGAGAATCACCCTGCTGGCACCCAAAATGAACAAATACAATTAAGGGAGAGCACCCATACACTCGTAATCGATGAATGCCATCTTTACCTCACACAGATTGGAGTGGTTGTTTTCACGGGTCAATGTAGATAGGAAGTATGCTATTCAAATCCCATCAGTCGCAGCAGCAGTCCTGCTGTTCACCCCTATTTTCTTCCTACACCACTTCCACGGTCCCTTGTCCAAGGCTCAAATCCTCCTCGACTTGTAGACTCTGCTCCAAGATCCGTCGCAGCGCGGTGCGCAACACGCCCAGCTGCTGCCCCGTGGGGTCGGGATGCTGCGAACCCAGCCACTGATGCGAGACGAAGAGCGTGAACATGCCTGGAACCGCATGGAGAGAGCCTTCTACTAGCCGCTCGATAGAAACATATAGAAGCCGCATCCTCACTGTCAGGTCACCAATTGAGACCTCTTAGGGGCCCAAACCCAAGCCTACTAATTAGGAGACCTGTGAAGTCGGAGGCTGGTTGCTGGTCGCTAAAGCGTGGACCAGCAACATGCCATCGGTCTTTTTTGGGAGTCTGATGGGTATAGCATGACCACACAAGGCAACTCCCAGGAGAGAGGTGGAAGCTTAAGCCTGCAAAACGACCAAACTATGCAAACAGTCATCAGAAATTCATCTACGAGCATCGGCATACCAAATACCACCAATCCAGCAACTTCAACCGCTTCATGGGCAGGGCGGAAAACCACCACCGCACCAAACCAAAGGCCTGGCTCCCACTGATGAAGCAAACCCTTCTGCATCAAAATGTCGTGCGGCTCCGGAGTGCCCTTCATCTCCAAGAAGTCCGAGACCTGGCAGGTCGCCAGCTCGGTGTTCACATGCGCGAGCTCGGTGTCGACACGCGCCATGTCCGACATGCGCGGAAGAAAAGTCCGGTTTTGAAGCGGTTTTGCGGTGGTTTGGTTGCCGCGGCGTTGAGTCTGAGAATTTGGAAGCGGGTGGAAGCCTGGGAGGGACGGATATCCAAATGAACTCTTAGCATTCATTTGGGTCCTCGGATTGACCATCCATCAGCTAAACCCATTGCAAATCGTCCTTTCAAACCCACAGTGCTCCCATCATCTCCGGTTCTGTGCTGAACCCCCATGAGATGCCTTCACTAGGTACATGGGGAAAAGGCAAGGGTGCACATGATTCGGTGGCAGCGGCTTCTCGCAGCAAAGGGAGCCGCCCATGGCTGCAAGCACGTGCGGTTCTGGCTTCCGCCGTCCAATTTTTGGACGTTTTCCGTGTTTGGATGTGAGGTGTTTGTTGTTTCTTCCTCATCTGCCTGCCATTGCCTACCCTGACCCTCAAATGGGCCTGGGCTGTGCCAGGATGATTCTCTGAAAGGCTGGACTCCCCAACCATTCCAGCCACCTTCAGGACTCCGGTTCCAAAAAACCTGAAAGAATAATGACCCTTCGTGGTGCCGTGGTAGCTGCAACATGTTGCAACACCGACCCACGTGTCCTCTGCATTCTGACAGTTTGATTGCATTTTGCATGCACCACTCAACTGTCCATCCATCATGTGTCGCACTACTTCGGAGACACTGCGAAAAGCTATCACACACACGGAACTCACACTTGAAAAGCCAGCCATCCTCACTGGAAAAGCCAAGCAGTTTAAGAGAACGATGGATGAAACATGATGACACACTGAATCAAAAAGAGGGTATGGTGACTGGAGAATGATCATCCCTTCCGATCATGACTCGGAAAATGGAAGCACTGACAAACAAAGTGCCTGCCCCCAGGCTCTGGAACATGTTAAGAACAATTTAGAGGTATTATACATATCTAGCCACTGATTCCAAACTATATATATATGTATACACATATACACACCGTATACAATGATATCTTGATATACCTGGCCTCTATAAGAACCTCGGATTTTCTCCGCAGTTTCCGTCAAGAACCGCGAGTCTGGGACCCGAATTGAAGTTCTCCAATGGATCCAGGATGGCAGTGGATTCAGTGGTATCGGCATCCTTGCTCCAATAACCAGTGGGCCGCAACAAGAATCATTAAAACATGCTTTTCATCAGAAATCCAAAGGGTAGCATGAGCGCGCTTTGCTATTGTTGGGAAGTCTGTGTCGTGTGTTTTGTGGCCCGTGGCCACTCGAACGGGTCATTAGTTAGTGTGTGTGTGTGCAGTTGAAAGCTCCAAGGAAGAGGGGTTCTATGTCCGATCTGCTAAGCGCAGCTAAGCTCTGCATAGAAGTGCAGCTAGAAGTGCACTCCTACAGCTGGGGGGGATACATGTCCAAGGATACGCCGTTGGAGCGCCCTTTGACAACCTTCTACAACTGTGCCCGTTCGTCCACTGCGCTACATGACATCTCCGGCTGCCTAAGGCAGTTGGACTCCACCAGACTCCTCATGGGGTCGTGTCCGGCCATGGAGTGGGGAGTGAGTTCCTTGAAAAAGAAGTGGGAGTGATCGAACAACATCTCTGGCTTGTGGATCAATTAAAGACCACTAGCCCCGGAAGACCAATTCGGTGCAAACGGTGACCAATGCTGGCCACTTTCTTCATGTTTCTTCTATACACCCCCAGGTTTATTTGGCTTCTCCAGGAGTGCACGAAACAGTGTTCGTTCAACCTTCTGTCCACTGGACATTGCAGCTGGTTGTTCGCAAAAACTCTTCCGCAACACCAAAAAAGACGGAAGGGTGTGGGCGGTGGTCTGTCCACACGCCGCATGGACAAGTGATTGGACATGGGCGATGCAACGAATGCCTTTTCTGGATTGATTCAAAACCACAATGAAGAGTCCTTAAGGATCCAAGTACCCTCTGAGAAGGTGTTTGGGGTGGGTTTGGAGGGTCCAAGACCTTTTGAGGAGGTACTTGGATCCCTAGGGAGTGTTTATAATTAATTCATATGGTGGAGTTAACCAAGAGTCGACATTAACTAATCCCAAGAACTCGTTCCTAAGTCTAAGGTTGAAGGAGTGTAAGGCACTGAGAAAATCTGGGAGGAGCCCCGATTTTGACCCCATGAGGTGAACTATCGCTGCTATGAGAAGCGTCAGCACGTCCGCGCTCGGGCGCTGCTTGGCGCCGCTGAGTACTGCCCGGGAAGCAACTCGACTAGCAACTCGATGTTCACTTCCAATGGTGAGGAATCGAAAACAAACCAACGCGAGGCCGCGAAGGGACACACCTTCTAACCCAGAACTTCCAAGGACTCATTTTACCCTATTTTACCATGGAAGTCAAATTCCATCATTCCATCATTACCATAATATAAGGGTAGAATGAATGATTTCCAGTCTCAGGGTAAAGCTAACCCGTGATCAAGGGCCGCTCATAAACCACCACTATATTATAAGGTTAGCCGTTAGCGATGTCCCAACAAATTTGAATTCTTCAAACATCCTGGAAGCCAGGGGGTGAGGGGGCGTAGCAGGGAGCGCGTTCTCTCCCACTGCCGGACGTGCTGGGCCCTGTCAGCTGATGTTTGGACCGGCCGTATCTTCTGTTTTGACCAGCTGTTGACCAAGGCAGGTGTATTTTCAGAAGATTGATGAGGCCTCCAACCTACTTGCGGAGACCTGAAGCAGCCGCGGCTGGGCGGGCTTCAAATATAAAAGGTCTCCAGCAACGGTAGCAAGTGCGTGTGGCCACATGCCTGTGCCAACCTCGGTGTTTTGGACATCCACTCGTCGGGCGGGTGTGATAGGGATCAACAAGACTCCGGTGGTCACTCTGAATTCTGGCGGAACTGATAGCCCTCACTCTCCCGCGAAGCCACGTCCACAGGCCGCTTTGGGGGGGGGCTGAAGGGTCAGGTAGAATCAACTCCAACCCCAGACCCACGACCCATGAAGCCGCACGATCATGATCTGGATGGGTAGGCAAAAAATGATTCGGAATCTGCAGCCAAACCAAACCCACACATGCGACCGAAAAGAGTTCCACACAGGATGCTTCATAAACACCCTTCTTGATCATCCCGAGGGGCTGGTTACAGTGGTTTCTGAGTAGATTGCACAACCCCCAAGATGTCCTGAACCATTGGGGGTCCATAGAAACCGCCAAACTTGGGGACTGCGCCATCTACTCTTGACCCACTATAATAGATATGATATACTTAGGTGCTGTTGGTACTGTATGTTCCTAATGGGCCGTTGAACTCCTGCAAGGTGCTGGGCCTCTGCCGAGAAGCTCATGCGGCAAGTTTCCCCGGTCGTTCATCAACAGCTGTGCTCGATACTGGCGCAAGGAACTTGGGTGAGAGAGGGGACAATGCATCGGGCAGTGCGCAGCCAGCTCCAGCAGCCCTACCAAATCAACAAAACGATTGCGACTTTGAATGTATGTCAGTCTTTCAGTATCTTTAGTATATTTCATAAAGTCTTCACGTATTACGGTGAAACACACGGTTAACAAGACTTGCTGGGATGTGAATTGATATATTGTTATATGGTCGCAAATTGCTTTAACTGACCAGCCTGCCGTGACGCAAAAGACTTGATTTTTTTGATGCTTCTGCAGTGCTCTGACTATCTGTCTCTGTCTCTGCTTAAAGTCTGTCCCACTCACTTCCCTGAGCAGCTGGCACACAATTTCACGAACTTCAAACATTTCTGAATGATATCTTTGTTCATCAAAAAAGAATTCATTCAACCAAACCATGCCGCCCGCTCCCAGAAACACATCCAAATCCATTCAAATCCGCTAGGACCTCTCCCCAACAAGGTCACCAGGTCCGCCTCTCCACCTCGTATCGGTCCCCCTCACTCGCCCCAGCCGCGCGGCGTGGCCGCGCGCCTCGAGGAGGCTTCGCACCAGCTTGGAGTTGCCCACGAGCGCCGCCGCGTGCAAGGGCGTCATGCCTCCGGCCAGCGGCGCGGAGACGAACCACGGCGATGACGAGGTAAGCGGGAGGAGGCGCCGGTGGTTCGGACGAAAGGACAGGAAATTGGTGGAGTTGAAGTTGGAGAGGTTACAGATTTTCTGATGACTCCCCCAGTGTATATACTGCATATCTTAATCAGCATGTTATATGTATGTTATGTGTATATAATAATCCTCAAAATTCCAGCCATTACTAATAGCCTTTCCCGAACCACCATTGTTTTACTAGGGATTTTTACACCACACAACCAGGATTAATCAGGTCAACCATTTTTTGAATGGTCTTGGAAGGCTATATACACTCCCGTAAACTAACATGGAAGTGGAAAACCACCTGTTTGTAGTGGAAAATGGTCTTCCAAGGGGCCATTCTCCACTTCCATGTTAGTTCCAGGGAGTGTATCATATAATAAATGTCTATTTCTTGGTGATCTCGTTCTGCCTCGAGAACCATCGGCCGAGAGAGAAGAACGGCCGCCTGGCAAAGAGCCCCAGGTGCGCACCAAGGTGGAACTCTGCTCGAGGCCGATCTCATCAGCCTTCCTGGATTCCAGCGAGCGCCCATTAAACATCGTCATCTTTGGATCCTTGTGGATCCTTTTCGATCCCCCTGCGAATTAAGTGGGGTGGGTGGCAGGGGGGATCCTTAATCCTTCGGGATGTAATTTTGCTACAACACAGTATTTTACCACAGGATGTTGATGCCATCAACCCTGGACCCTGCTCTTGGACCTCCATGGTTCCTATCAACCTTATGGGTTCCTATTGATGCAAGGATCTGTTTGGGGGAAGCGGATAGAACTGGGCTCCGCTCATCTAGAACTGCGCCCCGTTCGCCGATCACCTGCCGATTCGAAGACTGGGGGAGCAGGCCCCGATTCGAACCACAGGTTCTGGTTGAGCGGAGAAACCATGCTAAACCAAACATATCCAAAAAGAACAGGTGCAGGTGGCAGGTGATCCACTTGTCCTCAATCAGGGTGAGGAAAGGCTGAGCTATGTTGAGCTTGTGGAAGAACATGCCGAACATGATGCCGATATTTGTGGGTGAGGAGGGCAGGCAGGGGGAATGGTCGGGTCGACCAACATCTCGTCTGTTGTGCAAGACTTTTAGAGGTTGTGTAGGCCGTGTAGGAATGATGTCCTTTGGGCTAGATCCTGCATCCACTGCGAGATAAGGACTTCAATGCACTTCCGATGATACTCAGATACTCTTCACCTTCCCCGTTTTTTGGGGGATAGATTTTGCATGTCTCACTGAGCAGTTGACACCCTCGAGAAAAAACAACAACGGTGGCCGTTGATAGCCCAAATGCCACCCAAATACTCCAGTGTAGAATCTTGATTCCCAAAACCTCCCCAAATTTGGATGCACGCACTTGCGCACGCTTCCACGCGAACCGCCTTGTCATGTGGTATGATGGGTGAGGGTGGATGTCATTTGGATTTTTAAAGCCTCGGTTTTTGAGCCTCTAGGGCCCGAACTCCAATCAAAGAGTCTACGTGAAGTCGGGACCAAGATGCTCCCCAGCCAATGCGCACTCTTCCGCCAAAGGCGGCACTGGCCTGGCCCTCCGGTCCACCAAGGCCTCCGTTCCACGCACCGCACTCGCTTTCAAAGGACAGGTTCAAGAGGTGCCTAACATAAGGTCCAAGGACACAGGACACACTCCCAGACCTTATCTTCAGGGGTGTGAAACACGGCCTTGAAGACCCATTTCTTCACCGGCTTCTCCCAGCCTAAGCACCAGCTCGAAAAGCACCAGTCAAGCCGGTGCATTGACCACTGGACTGCATATTGGTGTTTGGACTGCCTCTATACCGGTGTCATCCGTTGTCTTTTGAATCGCCTGCCATCGCTCCAAGCGGCAGCCAAAGAAAGAATGCGATGCCGTGGCTCTGGTGGGCCGCATAAATAGGAACAACCCCCGGGGGCAGTCCCCCCAAGGGTAGGATCATATTTCAAAGAAAGAAGGGTGGACAAAGAGGGTGGACCCTCCCCATTTTATAGAGGAGATTGCCACGGTGATGTTACATCACTTATCCTCAAACTCGCACCCTTTTTCCCGTCTTCAAGTCTCAGGTCGCTATACCTACCCACGAGAACCCACTCGCCACGTGCGGCCCGCGAGAACTCGTCCGCAACGAGGTTCGGACACCTGGTGCTCCAGCAGCAGCCGTACATTGGAGGCGCAGCAGGGGTTCCCCCGCCCAAAGAGCGCTGCCGCTGTGAGGGCGCCATACTTCGCGTGAACTGACGGTGTCCGAACAAGAGACGAACTGCGTTCGAGTCGAAAAGGTTTCGTGAAAATGGGAGGAGAAGACATGTCTGCTGCACGTGCTGCACGTGCTGCACTCAACAGGAATTCTTGGTGGTTCTTGAATGTTCTTGATGGCGCGTGTTGAAAAGGACACGTGCCAGGCCAGAATGGCTGTTCCAATTGATGTTAGCTATTCAACTATAATGTTATAACATTTGAACTAGGATGAACTAGGTGTGTCCTTTCAACTTGCAGGGTTTTTTGGGAGAATCATGACAGGTAGATCACCACGTATCCCAAGCCCAGCCATGTTACCCTAGCCTTCGAAGACCATATAATTTGTATTAATTTGTATAAAACAGCCATGGTTGACCTGGCTTTAAACCGCACAACATGGGTGATGCTGGCAACTAGCAACAGTTTTTTGTTCAATGACTTTCCATGGGTCCACTATTCAGGCTGGTGCATCTCCAGTCGTCCACGTGAACACCAATTAGTTCCGGAGTGTCGGTGTCTGCAATTGGCACGTCAGGAGAGCCTGTAAGAATTCACGACCTCCTTGCTCACGTGGTAGGTGACAACCCATCCCATTGAGCCGCCATTGAATCAATACAGGACCCGATCTCACTGTGTTGTACATCCCAAGGATGCGCATCATCGCTGAGAAAAAAACAAAGTTCATTGCAACATGCCAAAGAAGATTGCACAACCTACTAACCTATAGCAATCATACAACCTTCACTATCAACAGACTGCTGTAACCTATCCACCCACTGTTTCACTCACTCTCCCACGGTCGCACCGGTGGCACCACGTCCGGTCCGTCCCAGACTCTCAGTCCCTGAAACAGCTGTCTTAGACAGCTGTGACCTGCTCTGAACATCTCTGACCCCTTCACCCCTTCCGGTGCAGTTTGCCCCCTTCACGACATAGGGGCTTTTAGCTCACGTTCCCTTCACCCCTTTCTCAGCCCAAGTCTCCGGGATAGTCCGGCTCGCACTTCGCTGCCAGCAGCGCCGCCACCGTGGCCGTGTCCGCACGCGAGGCGGCGCCGTTCAGTGGCGCGGCGGACACTTTGCCTCACCGGTGGTGGAAGGTGGTAGAACCACTGAACTCACGAAACATATCGAGTCAAGTGGTTTCAATCATGTTTCAAGCATTCTAAGTAAAGCTATAGCTATTAAAGCATAACAAATAAAACTACGGTATATTATGTTTATGTATATATCATACTATATATATATACCAAAAAATGCCAAGTGGTTTCAAAAGGATTCAATCATCCGGTGACAAATCAATCATACAGTACAACATCATGAGACTATGAGTCAGTGGTTTCAATCCTCCCAAGATATCCCAAGTGCTAAGGGTGAAAAAGAAGACTCTCCGAAACCACCAGGACCACCTTCGGTCAGTCCGAGAGTCCTTCGAAGTCGGCGCGGAAGGCCAGGAGGCACTGCACTTGCCCTGCCGAGCGGACCACGAAGGTGCAGCCTCGGCCGAAGGCCGCCCATGGAGGAAGGGGCAAACAGAAAAGAAGGGGGCATAGACTAGAGGATCATAGACGCGACAAGGGGCCGATCTTTTTTCTCTGTGGAGGTCAGAGGTTCGGAAGAGCAGCAAGCCCACTATAAGGGGACCATCTCCCTCAGTTGTGGAACAGAAAGGCGAAACGATCGGAACTTTTCACCTACTTGCTTGTCTCGTGGGGCGTCTCCAACCCCCGCACCAGACGAGCTATGAAACAGCGTTCCGTTGAACGTAAACTTATTTCACCTTTTGCTGGGAGGGGGTTACTAGTAACAAGTGCCACGCTAGTAGTAACAGGTGCCTTACTAGTAATAACAAGAAGCTATTAGAAACAAGTGCCATGCTAGTGCCTGGGATGGCCAGGCCCGGTGCGAGGCCATCCGAAACATGGGGGCCTCGGTTTGGTACCGTCACTGGCCGAGCGGACCGGGTGAATCGGACCGTGTTCTTTTCCTCTCACCGGACAACGCAAGGGGAAGAGGACTGAACCAATCCCATCTACTAAGTATGTCAAGGATCCTGAAATTCGAGAACATGTGCTGTTGGGTCTGCAACCGGACTGCGTGTCAAAGCCTGGAGAACTCAACACCATGGTAGAGAACGACCAACACCAGGTAGTTAGGTCAACCGTCAACAAACATATCCTGGCTTTGACCCAAATGGCAGTGGGTCAAATCCGGATCCCTAATCCCTGGTAGGAACCGACTATGTCTAGTAATAGTAGTCCAGTCTGTTCACCTTCGGTGGTCAACCAGGGTCCCCCAGTTTTGAACCACAGCCAAATGTTTGGCACCCAACTTCACTCCAACTCCTCCAGGGCACCAATGCCGCTGCGCGCTTGCGCGTGCACGTCTGCGCGGAGTTCGATGAGGGTCTCGAGGATGAGTGGCTCCTGCGCTAAGAGGTGCACAGGTGGCACCGTCCTCCAGTAGATTCAGAGTTCACATGGAAAATCCTTGGCGGGAGCAAATTTAGAGTGTTGCAGAAAAATCATGGAATTCCTGGGGGAAGAACACATGGAGAGAGGTTCCCTTTTTTCCTTAGCATGTCATAGCGTGGGTGGTTGAAGTCTGGCAGCCTGCCTGGCATTGTTTTAACGCTCTGATACGCTCTGTGTGGGGACTTCGTGCATCTTGTTGCTAGGCGGTCTTTGCCAAACAGCATCCAAACAGCAGCCCTGGGATTCCGTTGCTGGGCCATGTCTCAACTCACAAGATGTGTGATATCAATTGATATCATCATATCATTTTTTGCAATTTCCGCGAGCACCCAGTTCAGCGCTATATTAAATTAAAGAAAGGCTGACCCCCTCAGTTTCGCTGGATAACCCTTTTCCACCTGTTCTTGCATAGGGGAAGGACAAAAACAACAAAAATAACTACACTCCGAGCGTGCATGTTGCATGATGCCCAGTTGGTGATTCATTATCGGTGAAACAACCATTGGCTCGTGCAAGCATGACCCTGCCGACCCCCTGGCAACGCGCGGGTCGGGCAACGCCCGGGCCTGGTGGGACTTGGCAGCGGCCATGAGCCTCGGGGCGGCCATGACTACTAGTGACGTGGACGCCTTGACCAACATCGGCTGCCTCAACCCCTTGCGAACGCCAATTTCATGGGACACGCTGAAAATCCAAGCGCGGCCACGAGTTCCATCCCTACTCATTCCTGTTGGGGCAGAACGGAAGAACTGGATCGAGAGTACTTCGCGGATCGCTCCCTCCAGATCGCACCAGCCAGCTCGTCCAAATGATTTCAAGAGTGTGCTGCACTGAGCTTTGAGACTCTTGTTGACTTTCTCACCCGCCTCCAATGAGCTGGCTGTCGCACATGTCTAGGTCTCATGATGTACTAGTTATACTTGGGTCTCCGCCACCGACCTCGTCCCTGCAGTCCAGGCACATGGTTTGAGTCTCATAGTAGCCAAGCTCACTCAAGTCCTGGGTCCGCGCCGGGCGCCCGCAGGACGACTCACGGATTCCCACTCCACGGAACCCCCTCGCACTTCGCCCGCCGGAACCCGCACCTCGACCTCCACGAGGTCGTAGCCTTGTCTGCATCACCAAGCCCCGCCCATGGGCCGCACCCCATGGGACTGGCGATCAGCTTCACCGACGTCCGGAGACGTTGCAGACGTTGTATGCGCTTTGATGACGTCGTTTTCAGTGACGCTGCTGTGACCGCAACGAGCCGCGGTGACCACGAAACAAACCTATGAAGTGGATCAAACAGCTAAGCCGTTTGCAGGTTCGGTTTGGGGCACTGCCGGGCAGCACTGGGCATCTCACTCCAAGTTTGTGCGAGAGACCCTCCACACACCCCACCACCAGCCACACAAAGTCATTGTCTTGAAGCACATCGATTTATATACACATTAAAACACACCGTCCATGTGGGATCCCAAGCCCATGATACATTCATCTACACCAGAATACTTGAATCACCTCACCCAAAAATACTCCATATCATAAATGTTACATGTTCACCTACGTTGTGACCCTGACTGAAGCCACAACAAACCCATTTGCTTTGAATCTATGATGCCAATCCCATATCGCCCCACGTTTTAGGCTCAAACACGCACCATTCCATCACATCATCTCCCAAGCGTCACCCAGGCGGTCGTTCACATCAGCACGGTACTTGGCCAGCATGCGGATCATGTGCGCGTTGCCCGCGAGCACCGCGCAAAGAAGTCCAGTCAGGCCGTCGCGGCAGCTGCGCCCCTCTGCGGCCGCCCGGAGGGAGGGGAAGTGGAAGTAGCGGAGGAAGTCCTGGCGGATCAATTCATGGATGGACTTGATACAGTATGTGGAAGCTCTTGCATCTGCTCACAACTTCAACTCTTGCTTTCTGGCTTGGCAGCCCTTCAGCCAGCAACATGCCACATCCTCATCCGTTTCTTCCGGCCTCGGAGTCCAGAGTGACCGGCTGCTGACCCAGGAGCCGTGGCCGGCACGCCAAGTAGAAGCCTTTATCGGTCGCGAGCTTCAGGGTGCGGAAAGGCTCGTGTCGTGGAGTGGACAGGGTGAAAGGAATGCCGCCCTAGAAGTCGAGCCACAAATTGATTTAATAGCCTTTTTACCGAACGACGATTGTTTTGCATTGTTTTACAATGTTTTCCATGTTACTATTGTTTTTCAAAGGGTTTGACAAAGGGTCTTACACTACAAAACAAGATCCACCGTTTTAAAATGGTCTTGGATTTCCAGGGAATGTGTAGAGAAAATCATCACATGGAGACATGGAGACTTGGTGTTTGAAGGCTATCTCCTTTGGGCTTAGGGCTTCAAACTTGGGTCAAAGTGGCACTAGCTACATCTAGAGTCTAGCTACATGTGTACCCTACATCGGATGGTCGCACCATCTGGGCTGCGGAAAAACAAGAAGCCACACCACGCAAGGCTCCGTGGACCCATCGATAGCTCCGTGGACCCATCGACTCATGGTGTGGACTCGACGTCTTTTACTTTGTCATGTTGAACATGATCCGTTTGTCTTTGCAGTGCGCTTGTACAGGACGCGACGCTGCCCTGTAGATCGTTGCTTTGGGGATCGAAGAATCGATGAACAAAGAACTCCGTGGAATGCAGTCGGTTGACCTTCTGGGCTGCACTGGTGTTGCGCAATTGCCCTCATGAAACTGGTTTCACAAAAGCACCCCGGTATGCCCTGAAAATTTCTGTAAATGCCGCAGCCACGAAAAGGAATTGAGCACGCTTTTGAGGCCGCATACCGGGCATGCCGGGAAATGGTACAATGACATGAACATGTATCCTGGCATGATCAACTTCTGAGATTCCTCCTCGACTCAGCACAATCCTAAACGTCAAAACTACAGGCAACACTCACAAGCATCACTTCAGCAACACAACCCACATCAGCCTTCCCCTCACCCTCCATGTATGGCATATATGCCTACCTACTGTACCTTGACCCCCAATGTAGGCATATTCCCACCGGTCAGACCCCCAACAGCCGCGGAACGATAGTGGCTCACCGGACCTTCGCTGCGCAAGGTCTCCAACTTACCTCTGCCGATGGAGCACAAAGCTCTATGGCAAAGAACGTCCATGATGTCCACGGTAGGGGCTGAGCAGGGGTTCTTTAATTGAAACCAGCCTCCAAGCCCCAACCAGTGTCTTGATAAGCCTCTAAGCCTCGAAGCCTGATGTCCTGTTGGGAGCCGTAGCAGTAGCAGTAGTAGTAGCAGCAGCAGCAGCAGGAGGAGTAGTAGTAGTAGACGGTGTCAGTTTGGTACCATTGACCTATTGGCCTTTCGTTGGCCGATTGGTTGTACTACTCTACCATCTATGCCCCAAAGTGTGCTCGAGGACCCTCCACTAGCTTTTACCACCAGGACAAACACAATTGGCACTTGGAAGCTGCGTGTCGGACCCTGACACCTTGGTGTCTGGGCACCTGTGATCAGGAAACACCTCTTCAAGGGTCCAAGTATGCGCAAAGGTATAGCACAACATGAACTCTCAAAAGGCTGGCTATGCTGACTACATCTGAATACTGAAAAGTCTTGCACCTTCTCCCTCATTGCATTCCATAGGCCCCAGGCCCCAGACACGGTAAGAACGCTTCCATTCCAGGTCTTGAACCACCTCAGCCCTCAGCCAGGCCGCTGGCGAGTGCGGCCTCGCCCAGCTTCACCACCACCGCACGGTCGGACTCCACGGTAAAGCGCCCATCGGCGATCAAGTTCCGCTGCCAGTCCAAGGGAAACATCAGTTCCTCGGCGGAGACTGAGCGCAGCACGCGCTCTGCAGCACGCAGCCGTGCTAACGTGCCGTTCTGTTTTTCCGGTCCCGGAGGGAATTGGGGGGGATTGAAGAGAGCTGGCATGGTGGGTGGCTGAAAAAGTTCCACACAAGGACACTCACAAGGACATGAAGGAGCTTCTGGAGATCTTTCTTCGCCAGCCAACTGATCAACACCTCCTCAGCTGGACCCTCCAAACCAAGGTACGGCTTCACCGGTGGAATAGATCACGATGATGCTGGTGTCAGGCTTGTTGGACAGCAAACCTCGGCAAAAACGCCGAGGTGTATTTCTGACCTCTTCAGTGTCCAGAAATACAGGCAATAACGTTTAACCCCTCCCCACCTGTTCTGGTTAAGTGGGGCTTCCCAAAAGAGGTCGAGGTTATCAATTTTTCCTGGGTATGGCTCTTGGGTGGCATTTTGGTATCGTATGTGTGACAGTTCCGCCGAGAAAAAACAGTTCCACCGGAGAGGTCTTCTCAAAGCGGTCACTTACCGCCGCTGACCGTTCACAGAAAAACGTGTGGCCTTTCCGTCTGGAACTGCAAACCAAAACATGGTGCGCCTGCAAGGAGGTGTGGAGAACACAGCCCAACACGAGCAATTCGTTGATCCAAAGAAACATGACATGTTCCATTGTGTTAGGCATTATCATCCCATTTTCGCTTGTATAACTATAACAGTGTGCAGAACTTCGACTCTAAATAGTGGTGGTAGAGATAATCTTTCATCAGTGTGACTGGTCATGCACCACACCCGGTGGGTTGTTGTCTCCAGGATCTGCACCAAGCAGCGGCACCACAGCTCGGCGCGGCACCAGCCACGAGAGAGCCAGGAGGTGTAGCTGCAGGTGAGGCCTCAGGGCTGGTGGAAAAATGAAGAACCTACGGCACACTCCAGGAAACAATCATGGAAGTGGAAAACGGTCACTTGGATGACCCTTTTCTGAATACCAAACAGGTGATGTTGATACTTTCAAGGAGTGTAAAGGGGAAGCCCCCGACAACCAACACAACCCTGATGGAGAGTTGGAGCCCTACTATGGAGGGCCGACTCTGAGAGGAATTCAAGGAGGAATTGAAAACATTATAAAATTTAAAAACCAACTTTATGGAGCGACCTCTGGTTTCAACATGTTTGAAGAGCACATTGGGCATATCCCGGTGCATCCCTCATGAATCTGAGCACTGTCGTTTAGCATGTTTAGCCCAATGAGAAATACTGCAATCGATGAAACAGCCAGGGGCAACACAAAAAGATCCAATCACACCAAACCATGATAAACCATGGAGCCATCCTGAGTATGTGATGTGATTCTACATTCCACTACATTCAAAGCATGTGTTATGTACTACTCCCGTCACGGTGACCCTGCACTCATTCCACCACTCCCGTCACGGTGACGCTGCACGAGTCACGCGTCGTTGTCGAAACCGCCCAGCCGAACTTCGGTGGTACTGAGCTTATCCCTTCGCCCGTAATCTGACCGCGGCTTACAGTATGGCTGATTCTCAAAAACAAGGAGGGTCCTTCAGGTTCCAGGTACCCTCTTCAGGTTCCTGAGTCCGACCACTGGACCCACGCGCCCTCGGCTGCATCTGACAGTCCAGGCGCCAGTGTCGGCATGAGGAAGTTCCTAAGGCAAAAGGAAGGCCGGGCCATGGGCAAGTCGCTACTGTTGTTATTTTTTCTCACTCTCTCTCTCTCTCTTGCACAACTTAGGCATGGAGAACGGATGAACATGGATGAACATGGCCCCTAGTAATTAGTAAAGGACACTGGTCTTGGAAGGGGGCGCCTTCTATGTCCAACACTGCCTATTAATTAGTATACTGCATATATAAATACAGTCTATACATGTCTATGCTTGCAAACATCCATGTAGAACATCATTTGTCCAAAACCTGAAGCCATTTATACTTTGAACTTTGTTTTTAGAACACCCCGGAATGCACACTTAGAACGATATGAATAAGGAACATAAATAAGTGAAAGGGACATGTGTATATATACACATAGTGGTGAAGTGCAAGAACACCTGAGGTCTTTTGGTAGCAAGGTGGGCAAGGCAGGTGTGCTGCTGCCTATGGAGTAGTGGAAAAGTTCAAGGTCTATATACATAAAGCTTTCTATGATGAGACAAAAAGAGCACTCATGCATGTGCCATGGATTCCTTTGTGAGTCCATGCACTTGGACGATGGGGACATAAGTAGCAGCGCGTTTCTGTCGCTTGGTGTAAGGGGTAGTATATGTTTAAAGAAGTCTGTACAAAGCCGTCAACATGTTCTATGTGTACATGCAAGGCATGTTCTATGTGTATTGCCTCATGTTCTATGCCTCTGTGTTCAACATTCTAAACGCAATTCACTTAGAATGTCGGCGTTGTTCTAACCTATACTATACGCTTAAAACTTAAAACATATATATACCAGGGAGAACAATATGTTGTGTTTTTCAAATCTATGTTCTAAGTATTCGTCGTACAGTATGGTGGTACGACTGTCAATGTTTATCAAGCCAAATGTGAGTCTTTGGTAAGGCCAAATAATACCCGTAAACAAACTCCTCCTGAGATCTGGGGATACTACCTCTCCGTCGAAAAGGTTGTTTTCACAAAAATGAATCACTTCAGGAGCCAATGTAGGCATAAAACCCTCCATATCAAGAGGTGTTCAGTCCAAAAGGGGAAAATTGCCAAGTCAACATTGTATCGAATAACATCGAATAACTCGGAACCACAAAATCACGGTTTCAACATGGGCCGTACGAAAGTCCAGGCGAGTGACTGGTACCAAGGCCAAGAAGAGGTCCGCAGCCTGGCGTGATGTGTCGTCCGGTACTGCCATATATGCCGATCAATTGGGGTGGTGGTTTGGGGGGTCAATGGGGTGGCATATATGCCAGTCCCATGGAGCCTATGGGTTATATATGCTGCCCCATTGGCTGTGGGTCATGGCGGAGACCGAGCGAGCACCACCTGCCTACCAGGTGCCGCTCGTTCGCTACATGGTGGAGTGGTCGGTCCTCCAGATGGATTGGCCCCTGAAATCAACCACCCCTGGCCTGACAGGCAGTCTTATGGCAGTCCCATTATATAGTCGTGTTAAAGTGTTATGGAAATAGTTCATAGATGTTCATGTAATACGGTAACGTTTCATAGATGTCTGACTGGTGCGTCTCGCAGGGAATGAGGGAATGGATCCAATAGAATCTCTATTGGGGGCTCATTCCCTTATTCCCTACTAAGCACCAGTCAGTCTCTGAAACCCACATCCCAAACCTATTCCTCCAGCCTCCACATAGGCGGGGATGCTTTGCACCGCCCTCGCCGCATTGGAGCGGGTGTCGTCCTCGTTGATCCCGTGCTTCCGGGCTGTGATCCTCGAGGCACAAGGAGGGCCGCGGGCTCCAGTGGGATGTCTCAATAAGGGCAATTTTTCATCCAACTCAAGCAGCTCAAAGGCTAGTAACGTGGGTTCGTCGCGCGTAGCTTTCTGGCCTGCAATTTCGAGAGTTACACAGTTACACATGTTGAGAGAGGCCCTCAACATCACATTGCCACATGCTCTACAGCGGCATGCATAGGCCTTTCATCGTCCCTCGCATTCCCCCGACAGCGACATCAAAAGACACCCACATGCCCTTGTTGCACAAACCTTTCCGCACGAGGTCGAATCAATAAAGCCCTCCATATGAAGAGGTTGCTTCAATCCAAATGGGTGACGTTTATACATTATATAAAGAAATTTGGCACAACAAAACCACTGTTCCAACATGGGCCTTGTAAACACTGCAGGTGAAATCAAGGCACCAAATCAGGGCAACATGCCAGGCCCTCCTTCTGTTCATGCACACGCTTTTCGTGCGACGGCACCCCCCATGTCGCACAAGCGTGTGCATGCCCGAACATTGGCTGCCGAAGGGGCTGGGGTATCGCAAACCAATCCACAAAGAGATAGCCTGGCAGAGTCCGGTGTCTCAGCTGTGGCCTTGGCAGGTCTTAGTAACGGTAAGCCGGTGAGCGGTAGAGGAACTCCCTGTAGCAAACGACCCACTGTCTAAAGCAGTGAGCAACTTAGCAAGTGGGAACTCCTGACGGAAAGAACTGGATCCCTAACAGCGGTCGCGAACCTCCGAACCAACAGCGGTCGCAACAGCTACTGGTGGCTGGCTCCCAGTGACACTCCTGTCCCTCAAAACCTGTCAGCGCGTCCCCTCTCGATCCGCTGCAGCGTCTGCGGGCTCAGCCGTTTGATGCGCTCCGGCGCCTCAGGCGGCCACGGCCGCGGCTGCACGGTCGGTCGTGAGAGACCGCTGGGAGACAGCCTGTCCCGAACAGTTCGTGCATGGTGGGTTTATTATAAATAAGACACACATATTATATATACCTACAACATTCCAATACATACATTGACTCGCATTGACTCTTTTTCAACCACCCTAATGTAAATCATGTAACTACTAGTATGTCTCATAGATATGCAGTGTCTATCTGTTCTTCGCAGACATGGCCATCAACCATGACCTCCCGGACCTAGAAAGCCCACGGTGCCAAGATGCCAGACGCGCCGAGGGCGTCATGGATGTCCTTGACGGAAACGGGCGTTTTGGGTGACGGACACTGAGTGGATGACACCATGATGACACAATAGCATTCTGGGCGTTTCGCTTCCTGGAAGCGGGGCAAACGTGGGACTTGGTGGGATTATCTGTGAACGTGGTGGTTTCATGTGGTTCCTCTTTCTCCTTAAATGTGCGCAAACACATGCCCAAACTGCTTTCCCTAAGATGATTCAAGGCTGTAGTGATCCAAAGGAATCCAAAGTGATCATGGTGGCCCTGCATGCTTCGTGCAGTGGCAGATCTGGCAGCTTGGCATGGGCCGTGTCTCGATGTCTCACATGCTGGGCGCTGAAAGCCTGGGTTAGTGAAGAATGACTACGAATATAGCCGCACCTGTTGTCAATCCCAAGTGGGTCTTTGATCCCAGATTGCTCCAGCCGCCAGGCACCACCAGGTCATCACCCCCTGCCAAGGCTCAAATCCTCCTCGACTTGGAGGCTCTGCTCCAAGATCCGCCGCAGCGCGACGCGCAACACGCCCAGCTGCTGCCCCGCGGGGTCGGGGTGCTGCGAGCCCAGCCACTGATGCGACACGAAGAGTGTGAACATGCCTGGAGCCCAACACGCGGACGGGAGCGGAGGATGGCGGCGCTGCCAAAAGGTGGTGGTGGCGCTTTTTTGGGTGGCGGATTTTCATGGATGTTCGTACACCTCATTACGTGGATGTCTTGAATGGGTCACCAACTCAACAGGAATGGCGCCAAGTTCTTCAAAAGGGCTGGCGAGTTGGCCTTTTCTTTGAGTGACAACGGTTTGCCCACGACTGTGTAGAGTAGATCTGAAGTAAGGACATCACACACACACAAAACTCATTGTTGACCGTTGATTCATCAAACTTCCTAAAGCCGCCTAGATCTCGGCCGCAGATCTTGGACCCTTCTGCCGAAACAAAAGGAGCAAAGATCTGCCGAAATCACTCCACTGGACGCTACGCTGGAGTGACGCTGCGCTCCGGCCTGGCTCCCACTGATGAAGCAAACCCTTCTGCAATAAGCTGTCATGCGCCTCCGGCGTGCCCGTCATCTGCAGGAAGTCCGAGACCTGCAAAGATGCGTGACCAAACGCGTGTCTGTGAGGGCGTGTGAGAGCGGGAGAGAAGCAAACCCGCAACAGCGACAGGATGGTGGCTTATTTGGGGTTAGGTCTTCAGAAATCAAAGACTGAGTAATAAAAACTTCCGTATGCTGGATCAAACATATCTTGGTGATCTTGGTGTTTTCCAGGTTTTGAACCACATGGTCAAGAAATATCTGCGTCGCCTCACCACGCCCGCCGATGCGCATGCCTTCACCACATACATGGGGAAGCGGCACACGTGCACGCGTGGATGTGGAAGCGGCGCTTCGCTACAAAGGGCAGCACCCATGGCTGGTGGAGCGGTGGAGCTGCGGTGGAGCGCTGGATCCCTTTTTGGACTTCGACCGCCAAGGTTGGTGCGGATTCGCTACATTCACTCATGGAATAGACTAGTTTGGGAGGATCCTTCTGACCCTGAACGCGCTCGTTTTTTGATGTCCTTTTCGGGGGTATGCTGGCCCTTACAGTTCAAGTAGCCGCTGGGAGTCTTGGATCTTTAAGAGAAGACGTCGCCGCGGCGTGTGGGGCTTCCCTTGGTCCGGAGAGGAACGGAGGTCCGACGACAGCCCTCCCTTCTTGGTGCGCTTGGTCCGGTGGAGAGTATGTGCCAGTTGGCCAGTCTTATGCTGGCAGCGGTTTCTATAATACTACGTACCCTCTACTACCCATACTTCCTCTGTGGTCCCTATACTACCCATCTCCGTCCATACCAGTATTGGCGGGAATGCCACGGAATGCCTACCCGAGATATATTGGGGATGAAGCCATAAAGGAGGGCTGCGTGTAAATTGCGACGGAAACCGGTGTTTTTTGCGACGGTAGGCCGAAATAGTGTTATTCCTACTTGTCTAGTGTGTTTTTTGCGCTTGTCCAAACTTGAGGTGTTTTTTGCGTCGATTCTTTCCGCGTAATTACAAACAGTAGTGTTATTCCTACTTGTGTGTTTTTTGCGACAGTGTGTTTTTTGCGCCGGTCCTAGCTTCAAGGTGTTTTTTGCGCCTTGGGGCTGCGTGTAAATTGCGACGGAAACCGGTGTTTTTTGCGACGGTAGGCCGAAATGTTTTTCAAAAGCGATCCTGGAGATCGTTGCGCGCTCAAAAGTTCAATGAGTGTTTTTTGCGACGACGTGTAACCCCTGCAAAAAACACCTCAAGTTTGGACAAGCGCAAAAAACACACTAGACAAGTAGGAATAACACTACTGTTTGGAATTACACTGGTTTCCGTCGCAATTAACACACGTCCCCATAAAGGAAGCCTCAACATTGCTCACTCAAACCGAAAGACTGCTTGGCCACTTTTGTCGTAGAGTGATATGCACAAAAGAGTTACCACCCTGGACATTGGTGCTCAACATTGGAACCAACCTTAATGTTGGGAGGTGTTGGGAGCTTCACTGCCACTGCCGACGCCACTCTTTTCATCGCCGGACTCGACGTCCCCAATCCAAGACACTATCGACTTCTTCCGGTGAAACAGTTTGACGATGTTTGACGTCTTCGCGGGAATGAATGAGGCCCAGCGCCTAGCAAAGTCCCTGAAAGATTCCAAAAGATTCAAACAAGCTCTTGTGTGGGCAGCGGGAAATCTTGACTCAATTTCTCCTGAAGATTGAGATTTTGAACACTGAACATTACGCTTGTTGTTTTAACGCTTGGCTAATCCTTGCCTATTGGCTTGACAGTTTTTCCTGCAGTGATGAGCAGTTCTATGATAGATGTATAGAAATGCCAAGAGATACTCCAAAGACTTATGACATCAGCCTCAAGATGCAGAAAAAAAAAAAAAACGTGACGTCCATGTTTATCGGAATAATCTAGACATGGTCAGTAGGCCGTGAATCGCCCACATCTAAGATAATGAAGGAACAATAGCAAAAGCACAAGCATGCTGCACGGCAGTGCCGTAAACAAACATAGGTTTTTGCCCGGTCCACAAAAGCCGTCATACCACAACGGGCCTCCACTCCTGCTTTCACCCAACCACCTTCGGGTGGGTAAAAAATCACTGGCCAGGACACCACTTCAGTGTTTAGCCTGAACTAAATCAACGCGGATCAACTGGTGCCGAGCATAGCCATCACCGCCAAGTGCGCAGGTCTAGAAAAAATCAGCATGCAGCATGCGAATGGACGTGGGTCATGTAGAATCTTGATTAATTAGTGACCATCTTTCCAGGCACCGTGGGCCTTTATACATGGGCCTTTGCCCCGGTGAAGGTCAAGATCTCTCTTTTCTCTCAGGGGCTTGTGGACCCCCGACCGTATTAGCATTATTAGCGCATCGACCGCGACCGCACCGTAATTGTCAGAGCGGAATGTCCCGGAGGACGACCGGAGGACGCACATGCCTTGAGGGCAGCCGTCGCGTGTGGACTACATGGAAAATACCAAAAGAAACATGTTGCTAAGACGATCATCCGTCCTGGGCAAGTACATTTCCTATAGTTTGGTAACTTGATATAATACTACAGCCTTTGCAGAACATGATGATCTTGATTGGAACAGGACAACCCTGGAATTAGAATGGCGTGGCACCAAGCAATCAAACAAAGCACCCAGTTGACCCGTGCACGCTCCATACACAGAAACCGCCAGTGCAGGATACAACTCAAACTCCTCACGTGCCATTCGGGAGTCTGGAGGCCAAGTCCATCAATGTTTTTCTCGTGGTAGAACATATGCTACAGTGAGCGGTTTTGAGTGGAGGAGAGATGTTGCTCAGTTGCTCGAAATGCTCAAATTCCGCACATCTTCGCATGAAGATCCGGATGGACCCTTCCCTAAGGGAAGGGTTCACGCTTCGAAGAACGGCCACTGGAGCTCCTTCTCTTCAGCCCCATGCCATGGGTACATGGGTAAGTCTTGAAATCAAACAACATCAAACCAAACAAGGACAAACAACATCAAAAGAAACAAGCCATTGGCAATGTGCTATGGAGTTCATGTTGAGACATTCCTCCATCTACATGAGTCATGGAGTCCCCCATGGAATTCTCATGATTCCATGTTTGATTTCATGCTGGGAAGGACTTATATCAGTTGCCGCAGGTCCGGTCTTGCCACCGTCTTACACGACGTGACCCACGTTTCTCAGACTTGGAAGACCGAGAGCATGGGCAGCAGGTCGTGGTGCCCACAGGCGCGGGCCAAATCTTCCGGTGTGTCCCCACGCCTGTTCGGCGAAAGCTCCTCGGCGGTACCCCATCCACCACCAAACGACCCCGGCCATCCGCAAGAAGGACTGGTGGTGCCTTGAATCTACTGGAGTTGACTGGCAAAGCTTCAAAAGGTGTTTGGCTGGGGGTGCGGACGGTGCCCATAAGATTCAGCACACTGAGCTGCGCAAGAGTTGAACACATGATCTCGCGATGAGTGTACTTGCACGCCAATCTTGTAAAAGGAAGCTGTCCGATCGGCAACAAAACAAGTGCCAAGCGAAAGAACACATCGAAACTACAGTATCTCTTCTCCACCGATATCACTGATTTGTTGGTCCTGACTGCTTCACATTCCCCTACTGTACCAGTACATTCACCCAGATCCATCTCTGCTGCCAGGGCGGCCGCGTCATATTCCAACAGGAGCTTGACCAGCCCCTGGCGGAGGGCGGAGGCCGTCCAATGGTGCGATGGACCCTCTGCCATATGCTATAGGACTGTCGATCAGGGTTGGGGTGGTGCAAGGGTGGTCAATGGGGCGGCAAATATTCCAGTCCCATGGAGTGTATGGGTATTATTAGGATGTTTCATGCAACCCCCTATACTGACTGGTGCGACGAAAGCACGGAATGAAGGAATGACCCTCCATGATAGATACCTTGGGATCCAGCCACCCCCATTCTCTACTAAGCACGAGTATCATTTGGCCACATCTCCGGGGCAACGGTGTTTCTCTTCCTTAATGATCCCAAGGTAGTTAGGGTCTGCGAACGTCTTCATCATCTGCGCCGGGAGCCATATTTTCACCTGTCCGACCCACCGCCACCACACAAGAATAATAAGACAAATCCTGAGAACCCTGAATGGTTTAACAAGTTGAGTTGAGTCCTTTCATTGAGTCCCCACCAGGCCAGAACTTCACCAATCAGTTTCACTGACAGATCCTTGGCAAACTGTACCTGAACCTGTCCACATCAACCATTCTCCCTTCAACTACTGACATGGCTACAACTCCTCTCTCTGACCCCTCCAAAAACTAAACAAACACATACAAAACCAATCGAAAACTCCTTCAAGCATTGGGATTCACATGGAACATCCAAACCACTAAGGCTTCACTAAGGCTTCTAAGGGCAGTAACATGGCAATATTGAAAACTATTGAAACCATGAAACACATATTGGAAACATCAAATTCTATCCACTTCTTTCCTCTATCACCTTCACCCCACTCGTCCGCGCTGCCCCCCGTATCCCGGTCGCTGAACATCCGTCGTTGAACCGCCTTGTCGCCCTGCAAGGCGGCCATGTGCAGCGGCGTGGCGCCATGGATGGAGGCCACCTTCCGCGAGTAGCTCGTGGAGTCCTCGAAACGCCGCGGGCGCGCGAGTAGCGAGTAGCGCCACCGCACGTACTCGCGCCACCGGGTAGTTGGCACCCCTTTGAACCGCGCGGGTGGGGCGTGGTTCTGGAGCGTGGCTGCGGAGCGATCTGCAGGGAAGATCGTGGAAGGGAATCGTTTAGAGTCGAGATATGATTTGTTTGGTTGTACATGCGAGTGTTGAGATTCGATGTGTTTACATAGGATGGTGATCTACAGTGTGATATACATAGCCCTCCCAAGAGCCCTCCATTGTGCATCACGAGCTATGAGGGGCTGTCTAAGAATCTCCCTGAAGCCTGGCCAAAACAATCACAGCAGCAGCAGCAACAACAACAACAACAGCAAAAACAAAAACCACACCTTTGGACCCTCGAAATCACCCGGATTTGGATCGTTTTGAGATCCTGTTCACCGGGGTCCACAGCCCATCCCCGCCCAACCGAGCTGGGTCGATGGCTCCCGCCCTCCCCGGTCCGCCAGGCCAAAGAGTGCCACGCGCCTCGTGAAGCGACGCGTCAACCGCCGCAGGACGTGCGGTTCGGCCAAACCGCCGGGGTATCCCAGGAATAAGTGGGCCCAAGGACGACTCAAATGGGGCGTGGATTTTTGGGGCGACGTCAACGGCTCCGATCCCAAAGATTCATTAATTGCCTTACGTAGATGGCCCTAGACTGCTGCTTGATAAAATGAATATGTTGTTCATCACCTATAAAATCACCAAACAGGGTTGTGATATATGTGGTCATTTCATAAAGACTGTGTCAAATTTGACTTTGACAAGCTCTCAGGGATTACTTGCGAGCTGCTTGCCTGCTTGCCCTGTACATTTGCATTGGTTAATAGAGTCAGGGGATACGCCTGGTCGTGAACAACCAATGACCTGACATCGACCCCACTGCCTTCAATGTAGGCATAGATGCATGTCTTGCAGTGAGATACTACCCAAACCCTCCTGAACAAAAAACACACACAATTATGTTTGCCGTAACAAAGTTCTAAGTACCAGCACCACGGACGGTGTGGTTATGGACACCCCTTTACCTATGTGTGTTCCATCCAGTAACCACCCAAAAACCGTAATGCTGGTCATATATTAACCGTGGTGCTGGTCATATATGATAATTCATATATATATACTCGTTCAAAAATAAATTCAACTCATTATATAACTATAAATATATACATATAAGATCATATAAGTATATTTATATATAATATATACATTATATACCCATGTTAACAAGGCCGGGCGTGGATCCAAGTACCCACTGCGAGGGGTTCCACGCGCATGCAGAAAACCATGTTGGGGTGATGGGGGGAATGGACTTGCAAGTGCACCACTTGGAGGACCAGTTTTCAAGCTAAGACTATGGTGAGGTGCCGCTGTAGACTGCCCATCGTAACCGCTATTTTTGAGGTTTGAAGGGAAAACTATTGTTTTACTAAGGGTTTTAGATTACAATGCCAGGTCAATCCTTCTTTTATGATCTTTGAAGGCTAGGGTGCATTTAGTGAGGCTCAGAAATTGTTGCCATGGCGACCCTGTCTCTGCTTCCAAACAGCTGCCTTGCAGCAGGTGGGGTTGGAGTTGAGGGAAGCCAAACATCTCTGCCCCTTCAAGTGCCGAGGCATCTAGGTGGAGAGGAGCCAAGATCAATCATGTGCTTGGGTGACAACGATGGTGCCGTTTTGTTGGGGCAGGGCTCTAGGACTGGGGCTGCTAGGGATGTGCTCTCAAGGGTCCTGAGCCTGCGGCATTGTGCCGTTTGTTGTTTCAAATGCCACTTGATTGAACACATTTGGCAATGCTACCGGAATTGCCCCATTCGTTGAAGCAAGTTGCTGCCCCCACGTCCTCCGGCAAACAACCTCCTTTCGACAGGTCACATGCGTGCTGTTAGGACCTCCATAGTCATCATCCAGTCAGAGTTTCCCGCTGCAAGATTCACCTCACACAAGTGCCCCACGCACTAAGAGCAAGAATGCTACTAGGGTCTCCTGGCATCGCTACTAGGAGCAAGGACGCTACTAGGGGCTCCTGGCATCGCTAGATTCAAAAAGGCAAACATTCAGTTGGGAATTGCTGTGATTGGCTCAACTGCTTGCCCTCCGACTCTGCTGCTTCTGGTGCTTCTCTAAATCTTCACAAATTGATTACATACATTCTCACTTCTGGACCCTCTTCCCTTGCCCGAGAAGATAAGAAGAGACATGATGAGACTGGGCCTCAGCCCCAGTGCGTTTTTCCATGCTTTCTCCGCTTCCCCCCACGTTTTTGCGCTCGGGGCGCGTCCGCGCGCCAGTCCAGGAGCAAACGAGCGGTTTCCAAGCACCGGAGGTTGGCCCGACCAAAGACGCCCACGGAGTGCAGCGCGCCGAAGCCTGCGCAGCGAAAACAGAGCGGCAACGGGGCCGATGCCTTCCAGGTCAACTGATTTGAGGGGTACAGCCAGAGCGCTTTAGGGGATTGAGGGATGGTTGAATTGAGGGATCAATGGGATTGCAAAAGCACAATCATAACATTCGTACATGGAATGTCTGGGTATAGGACCGTTAATAGCATGGCCCTATCACGAGGTCGACCTACCCTGTCAACGCCCTGTCGCGAGTGTCAACTTGCCACCCGCCCCTAACCGGAAGAGTTGCCCCGGGCCCCTCCATGTTGATCTCTTCGTATTCACGTGGAGGGTCCCCTTCTTCCCCCCAAAAAAGCAGAAGGCACCAGCTTCGTCACATGGAGTTGGGCGGTTTCGTCCGTTCGTTCGGCACCCCGTCGAACGTGACTCCGAGCGCGCCCCGGGACGTGCCGCGACCGTGCCTTGCTCCGTATGCTCGGTGGGGTCGCACCTACCGAAGAGGAAAACGCAAAAGCACCCACGTAGACCCCGAGCCTTCGGTAGCTGCCTTCGGTATAGGACTCTTAAGACCATTCCCAAATCGGCTCTTGATTTTTCTTAGATGTGGTTTCTCATGATTAATACGATGTGCGCCTCATTGCATTGTTGCCTCACTTCATTGGTTTTCTCATTCAGTTGTGAGAAAAGATTTCGGTGGTTCGGCAAAAGCCATTGACTGGCTTGGACTGGACTGGTCGTACGGCACTTGCCATGGGTGGGTGTCCAATCATGGATGTCCACCCCCTATGATCCCCTATGTGGTTTGGGTATATCCCATTAACTACCAGGGCCCTGTGAATGGTTCAGTTGCCTTTTCCATCTCAACAAAAACACATGATCGACTCTTACAGGTTCTGAAAGATCGACTCTTAAAGGTTTTCCAGGATGGTTTGCCACATGGGGCATACATATTCCCCAGAAGGGGATGTATCCATAGGAATAAGATCACCTGAAGCAAAACCAGGTATGGCTGGACCCGAAAACCATGGGTTGGGTGTGGTGAAGACGACCTTCGGAGTTGGTGTGTTGGAGCATTGAAAGGTCGAACAAGGTCGAACAGATCTGCTTTCACACCACCCAGAAGCACCACACCGTGGCTGGCTCGCATGAAACAAGCTCTCATCTCTCATCGACAAGCAACCTGCACTCCAGCAAGGCCAGCACGGTTTCCGGTGAGGCCCGTCCAGCGGTGCCATTTAATGGGAAGCCTGAATTCGTGAGCAGCTCAGCTGCAGGAGGGGAACAGGACAAAGTGGAGACTGACATGCAGGGCGTGCAGTACACTTGTTTGATATAGTTTGCTTCTTCCTCAATCATTTATAAGGCCGCTTTGCGGGGGGTCTTGCAGGAACCACTGCAGCTTGTCCCGCCCCTACGGTAAAGACATGTCAATATCCGAAAAATCACCCGTCCCAGTCGGAGAGGTGCTGGAACAAGTCGAAGTCCAAGCAATTTGGGTCCCACCAAAGCGAGAGACATATCTACATGATACATGAGGCCTAGACCTGACCTTCTGCGCATTCTTTCATGCCTTTTGGCTGGATCCTATTCATGAACAAGCACACATTCAGCTGTTGGGCTTGGGGCACTCCCGTTTGGTCGCTCCGAGCTCCGGCTCCGGTCGCTCCCCATTGATACCCCGCTCCCGACCTATATATGAAAACCATCCAAAACGCCAGAAGTGGACGCACCTGTCTTGTCTCCAACATCTAAGTGGAAGCAAACATCCTCTCATCTGCATCAAGGGAAAGCAACCGATATACGGTTTGCAACACGGGTTGGTCGGTCCTTCAGGTGAAATACCCAACGGTACGGGAACACATTCGCCGATTCTCGGAGGCCAGTTCCCACACGTTTGCCGGGTCTCTGTTTCAAAAGTACTCAGAAAATCACCTGATACATGAGATATAAACTAGATTCATATATGTCAATGGTTTTTATATGATTACATGATATTAGATGATATGTCAATGTGTGCCAGCCCCATGAGTAGTGGATTTGGTGCCCTTATGCGCCCTTGGTGAAAGTGCCGCTAGAGCGCTGCCGTACAAATCTGCACGGTACTCCAGCATGACTTGGACATGGCTTGGCCGGCGCACCAGCCATGCCTGCACCGATGCCCTCTGCAGAACTCACAGTCCATTTGCCCTTCTTGGTGACTCCAGGCACCAAAAACCGCATTCGTCTGCTTTCTAACTATACCTTCACCAACCAAACACGCAGAAAACGTAGGGGTCACCAAAAAACACGACGTCACGATGTCTTTCAATCAGAAACACGATGTGTTCTTCAAAGTCGAGGTTTGGGTGGGGCTTTCCGGCTTTCCGCGATGTACTTCTATCATCTTCAACCTTTCATTTGGCCACACCATACTGCATATAGAGCGAGAGAATAGTAGGCGCCAAGGGCAACAGTTCAGGACCACGCTTTTTTGGTTAGAATGGCACGAGGGAGGTCACAATCACAACAACTGATTCTGGAAATGGAGCTCTCTAGTCTATAGCTCTCTTCTCTCTTGCAGCTCACCGCCACCAAACAGATGCACAACCCCAAGAAAAAGAACGGTATGCCAGGCAGCATGGTGGATTAAAGACATCCAATCCTAATCCATTCATATTGCACATCATATACCAGTGAAATCCATTGAAATCCACAATATATATATATACACACTAAAAGTTCTGATGAAATAGGTCTTTCAATTCATTCCCAGGTGGTGCATCGGTTGCCCAGCAAGAAAGCAAACACGGTGAAAGTCGTACTTGGAAGCTCCCACCAGGGAGAAGCTACACCATCGATGCTAATAGAACCAACGACAAGAAAACTACTGGGCAAATGATTCAAGATGTTCAAACCATTCATCTAGCCTGCATATTAATTCTGATGTATGTGTCCCTATCTCAATTCCAACGCTAACCTTGAACAAGATTGAACAAGAACTCACGTCGTCTTCCTATTGCCATCCCCTGTGCTTCTCCAATTGGATTTCATGGCTTCAAGATGCTTCAAGAAGACCTGGCCACTCCACACCACCCTCAAAGAAAGGCCGCTCCAAAAACCGCTCTTTCACGGCCCAAAAAACCGCTGTTGGTCGTGCTCCGGGTGCCCCGGCAGCGGAGATCCCCGAGCGTGACATGATGTTGGGGTCGGCGCGCAAGGTCATCAGCGTCGCCAGCACCGAGGAGTCCTACACGATTTCCTCTAGGTTGGAGGCCATTGCCACTAGGGTGGAGGCCATTGCTACTAGGGTGGAGGCCATCGCTACAAGGGTGGAG